GAGCCTGTGCCAGGGGCTTTGTCCTGCTCTGGGTTTGCTGCCACTTTTCTGGGACTGTTTTATTAAAGCTGCTGCCTTCCTCCCCAGATCTGTTTTCCCCCTGGCAAGGGTGGTGAGGTGAAGAGGAGCCTCTGGTTGCGGTAGCTCTGTGGAGAAGCAGCTCTTACATGAGGGGGGATGAGAGCTGGAAATTGGGGTAGCACTTGTGGGATAAATCAGATCAGTGGCAAGCATCAGCATCATTAACTCCTGCCTGGTAACATGGAGAGACCCCTCCAGTGCAAGGCAAAAACAATCTTTTTTTAAAAAGAATCTTTAAAATTGCAGGCACTGCAATTTTGCAATCAATGAGGCAGTGGGACACTGACTGATTCTTTCCCCTGCAAATATAAAATCACATCAAGAGGATTCTCTGAGGTTTCGCAGGTTCCTAAGGCTCTGGAAGCTGGTGTCAGGAGATCGGGAGCTTATCACCGAGATAAGCAGCAGTGCCCTCCCCAGGGCAGCCTGTCAGCCACAGCCACACCCACACAGTCGGAAGGACACAGCCCGAAGGCAGCAATTTTATTAAATCAAGTGTCTGGGCAAAGGCAGGGCTGCCCCTGCTGCCTCCAGGGCCACCTTTGGGAAGGCAGCCTTGCCCAGGGGGTTGGAGAGGGACCCCAGACTCCTCCTGGCCGCTGGGGCTCCCCAGCCCCTTGCAGGCTGCTGGGGTGGGGGACAAGCAGGATTTGCACATCCTGGAGGAACTGGTTCTCCCAGCCCCTCCTGCAGCCATCCCCGGCTCTCCCCGCACAGCTGCACCCACCCTGGAGCCGGGGATGCGGCTCCCAACTGGGATTTAACCCTGGCCAGCCCTGCAGGTGCCTGGGGATGCTCTGGGGTGGGATTCAGTGGGAGCAGCTCCCCGTCCTGTCCCTGTCAGGTGCCTCTGTGGCTCAGCTGCTGATGGCAGACTGGGCAGTCCTCAGGGAATGAACACCTTGGACAACACTTCCATCAGGTCTGGCATCTCACTCCAGCAGCCACAGACATCAGCTGTCCACAAGGAGATGCTCCCACAAGGATCCCTGAAGATCCCAGATCCCACAGCAGCCACCTGCAACCCTGGATTGGGCCAGGGGCTGCCAGCTCCAACCCCTGAGGCATCCAAGGAGGGTTTCCTAGGAGTCTCCACACCTTAGAGTTGAGTGACCCCAGGCTTTCCCATCCCTCAGGAATCCTCCTCAGCCTCACTGAAGGCCTGAATCCCTCCCTCAGGCACCCCCTGGGGGATTCCAGACACTGCTCAACTTCAGCCTGGCAGGAAGGACTGCTCAGGGCTCCTGCCCCAGGATCTGGGCATGCACAGGGCATTGGTGCCCTGCAGTACTCACAGCCCTGCCACGGGGGAGATTTGCCATCAGCCAGCAGATAAATCACCCTGGAGGCAAGGAAAATGGCTTTCCCAGCTCCATTTCCCGGGGCAAAATGGGACATCAGTTAGGGCCAAAGCTGTCCAAAAGAAGCTCTTCCCAGAAAATGCATTTGCTGGTCTTTGCCAGCCATTACTGGAAGAAGAGTGCAGTCACCTCTGGTGACATTCCAGGGGTTTTCTCATGGTAGATCACTGAATTTTTGACAAAAAGGACCTGTAAGGATGACACAGGGAAGTGTAAAGCCTGCCCAGGCAGCTGTGTGGGATGAGTGCCAGGGTGCTGATGTGACCAGGGAATGCTGAGAAAGGCAGGGCTGGCCTGTCCCCTTTGTCGCCTGCCAGCAGCTCCAGTGACAGAAATCAGCCCCTCACCAAGGGACAGCTCCAGCCCCACTCCTGTCCCCGTGATCCCTCAACTGGGGCTCAGGGATCTCACCCCAGTGAGCCACCCCTGCCATGGGCACTGATGTCACCCTGGGGACAGTGGCTGAGCCCCTCAGGCACTGCCAAACCTGCAGGAACAGCAAATCCCCTGTCCTGCAATGCCCCAGGAGGAGAGCTCACCCAGGGCCACGGGCTGGGCAGTGGAGAAGAGTGGACAGCAGAGAAGGGTGGGCAATGGGAAGGGTGGGCAATGGGAAGGGTGGGCAGTGGGAAGGGTGGGCAGTGGAGAAGGGTGGGCAGTGGAGAAGGTGGACAGTGGAGAAGGGAATCTGCCTCATGCTGGACATGGAGCCAGCAGGCTCTTGGCTGGAGAGGCCCCGGGGTAGGGACAGCCAGGTCGGTGTCACCTCCTGCCTGTGTCCCACACTGGCCCAGCCAGCCCAGCCCCAGCCCAGCCCCCAGCTGCCCGTGGCTCTCGGGGCTGGCTGCAGGGCAGGGAGCTTGCAGGAGCCTCCTCCTCAATTATTGATGGCCAGATCTGGCTGATGGAGCCGGGGCTCTCTGAGGCTCCTAATGGAGCCTGCAGCCGTGCCTGCCCAGCGAGCACTCCTGGGCCTGCACAATTCCCACTCCTGCCATCCCCGTGCCATAAAAATGCCCCTTCCTGCCGCTCCTGGTGCATTACACAGCCCTTGCAGGGGCTCAGAGCCCTCTGCCATGCTGCAGAGACGGGAGCTGGGCTGTGGGAGGGCAGGGTGTGCTCTCCAGCCAGGGAAATGGCACCTGCTGGCTCTGCAGGGATTCTGCTGGAGCAGCCCCAGCCCGGCTGAGATCAGCGCAGGGCACAGCAGGACATGGGGACAGTGGCCCTGGGCACCAGACACGGCAGTGCAGCACAGGAGCTGCCATCCCTGGCCAAGCAGTGCCACCCTGTGGGAAGCACCCTCCTCTCCTCCGGGTCCGTGGATGTCACCCCCAGCCTGGGTCCCATGCACGGCCCTGACATCCCCAGCCCCTCCCAGTGCTGCCACTGGAGCTCTTCCCCGTCCCCACTGCCTTCCCAAACATCTCCAGGGCTGCAGCCACCCTGTGCCACCTCCCAGCAGCCCTGTGCCAAGGGGCTGCTGCCCTGGCACCCCGCATTAATTGCCCAGACAGATAAATAATAGGGTTTATTATTAAACAATGAGGCATGGACACGTCATGATCAGGTCAGCATTTCTTATGAAACAGGGTTTCCATTCCAGTGCGGTGTCTCATGCACAGGGCTCGGGGTCATGGCACCCCAGGGTGGGGTGGGGACACTGGGACAGGGCTAGGGGAGTGTCCCCACTGTGACCCCAGGATCGGCAGGGGACACCATCAGCTGCTCTGCCCCACACTGCTCCCCCTTCCCAGCCCCAAGTCATCCTTATTCATTGCCCTGAAAAGTTCTGTCCAGCCCCAAAGCCACCTCGGTGGCACTGCTGGCTGTGTTTGTCCCTCCCTTGGGAACCCTGTGCCAGCCCTGTGCCAGCCCTGTGCCCCGCTGTCACCTCCCGTGGGGGACAGTGAGGGAC